GAATTTATTTGGGTGAATACAGCATAGTTTACAATATTACATACATTTAAACTCATTTAACAAGCATTTTGGAAATAAAAAAGGTGCATTTAAAAGTAGCATTTTAATTTAAGTGTATTCAACCGTTCTCTGTAATCGCTTTTTACCGAAATAGTGCTAATTCTCGTGCTGGTGTGTCGACGAAATCTGAGCCGGTGAAGGGCTGCTGTTCGCGGAGGAACTGCAAAGTTTAGACCGCGGCCTCGCGTTTCACTCATAGCTGAGAGATGGCGTGACTGACTCCAAAACCTGCCCAAAAACAAAGAGTACTGAGATTTGAGAACATATTTTAACATTAAATTAAATTAAACGCAGTATTATAACGAATAAAATCCATTTATGTTTTGCAAAGCAAAGGTGTTTCCAGAGCGAAACGACCGCTGCTGACTGACATCTCGTCCTTTATGTTGCATTGCGTAAAATAATATAATTTACACCACATTAAAGACTTTATAAATGAAATAAAATGTATACAAACCTTTATTTCCCGGAAAGAGTGCACCAATTCGGCGGCGGCGCTGAGAACCGCTCTCACCTGTCAACTTAAAAAGCCAGCGCTCTCACCCGCACCTGGGTAAAAATATTAAAAACAACCCAATACAATGACCCAACTGGCTGAACCCATCATTTGGGTTAAAAAAATAACACAGCATTTTTTAGAGTGCACATAAACAACAAAAAAGCTACTTCCCTTTTGGCTTCAAAATAAAAACCCAGCATTTTTTAGAGTGTAGAAGTTGCAAAACTACTGATTAAAGAATTCAGTTGCAATGCAAAGAGTGGCAATAATTCATGTCAGTACCAATGCTATGCTTTATCTCGCTTAATTTTCTGATATCTTGGAACGTGTTGATGGTTTCATGGTGGAGTTGTTTCACATCAGTACCCAAATATATAAAATATATATTGAAATTGCATATTGGGTCATTTACAATACAGCATTTCCTGTGTTCTTCATATACTTTGTTTCATTGTAAAATCCATATTCTTTTGACCGTCTGTTCCATTGGAAAACTGTCTCTGGTCAAACGTTGTGACCTTGAAAAGTGTATACATGCAAAATAGGGCTGGACAATAATTCAATATCAATATGTATCGCGATATAATTTTTTTCAATAACGGTGATATGATTTTTAAACACATTTCCGAAATTTCGATATACATTACCAGTTTCCCATACATTGATTTATTTGTGGTTTGACTTCGTTGAATAAACATGAGCACTGCACGTTTCAAAATCAAAAAATGTCGCGGGTGTTTTATATAAATGTATCTGTGAAGGGAACCGACTGTCTTCAGAAAAGTTTCGATGGCATTTTCATTTGATCTGATAAAGAAGCGTTCATGAGCGGAGCTGCTTTGATTACAGCCATTACTAGAGCTCGCCACAGAAAAAAACTGCATGTCATGTGACTTACCCAAAGCACATCATTGGCTAAACTAAGGTCTTCTCTTTCCAACAAAAAAAACGAGAATGTTCTCTTAAAGAGACAGTGGCATGGAAATGAACACAAAGACCATGTTGCCATATGGCCACACCATGTTATACAAAGTCAATCAAAAGGCTGCCTACACATCCAATATGCTTTGTGAATATTGACAGTACATAAAGACAGATCTAATTTAGTTTTGATCTATTCTATATAATAGCTTGCTCAGTGTTATAGAGAGATGAGCTGCAGGATTATGGATGTTGTTTCTTCATACACACTTTTTCTAGAATCGGTGATCTCATATGTCTCCGTAAACAAAACCAGCTTTATCTGATGATACCAGAGCTAGTCTATAGCATTCAGCAGGCCATTGAAATATATGGACTATAGTGGATGCTTGACTTTCAAAAAATGTAAAGCATTTTTTTGTTAAGTATTTCACAAAGTTAACTTAATTTAACTTTGTGAGAAAAAAAGTCAAGAAGCGTGTGCATATTGGGCACCCACTATAGTCTGCCTAAGAAAAAAAAGAATAATTTAACTTAAACTCTTAAACTTAACTTAAAAATGTTAAAATATGTCATTTTTTTAAAATAGTCAATTGCATGATGTCCTTTAGAGTGTCCATAACTGGTGTCTAAAATATTTAGAGTTAGAATAATTGAGAATAATAATTTGTTATGCTTTATTTGCATGATCTTTAGAAGAGACTGTGATTAATTTAATATTACTGAGTAGTTTCAATTGAAATGCATCCAAAACTTTATTCTTGACATTCAAAACATTTTAAATATATACATAGATTTTTATAATATATATATTTTGTTAAATTTCTCAAAAAGTAAAATGATTAATTTTTCTCAGGCAGAAAATTTCATATTATATTATTAAATAGTTATTATTTTAAATAGAGTGCCCATGACTAGTGTTAAGTTATTTCGTTTTAGTCTAATTATTATTTTTTTATATTTACTGAAAGGATTCTTTGGTCATTTTATTAAAATAGAAGCATCCAAGATCAAGATATAGTTCAAAAACTAGCCAGTGG